AGAAGGCTAACAAAACAATGAAACACTGGACACAACTACATTTCTTATACTTTTTGCGTGGAAAAAATCAACCATCTGCTGATCTCTGCTTAATTAAATAAATTCACTTGCCTGAGAGATCAGCTTCCTCAGCAGACTGCCAAGCTGCAAGGGAGCCAAAACTTGTCTATTTTGCCTTTATAGATTCCTGGGCGGTTGCATTATGTGGGTTAATAAAGCTCTGTCCCTTGGCAAATCAGCAGAATATGAATGATCCGTATTACTGCCTCGTGACACATGGCAGATTTGCAGATTGGTAAAGGATGTAGCAAAAGAAAAAAGAAGTCTGATAGGATCAGGATCTGAGCACTGGGGCCAAATTCAGACTGCTAAATACAGATTATGTCATTACTGAGTCTGCCATGCTAGTGTTCACTTATGGACTCCAACTTTTTAACATGAAACGTCATTTTTGCCATTGCCCATAGCAGAATCTCCACTGAGGATAAGTACAGATAGTCACAAAGCCTGAGATTGAATTAATTCAATCTTTGCAGGTTAGTCTAAACTGCATAGACTGAGCCAACAAGCAAATGAACAGACATTCACTTTTGATTCCAGAAATTCAGCGACAAGCCTGCAGTGGCCCAGGCCAGAAGCCAGAGGATGCTAGAGCACACCTCCCAGCTCAGCTGGAGCAGACAGCTTGGGCCAAGGCTAGCCTACCCCACCCACCTTGTGAGGGGGAGTTTGCAGGGGAGGTACAAGGCATCCTGGGATGCTGGGGGACTGTGAGTTAACTTGAATCTGGATGGGATCTGGGACTGAATTTCAATAAATCAATTTAACCAAAATAAGTTAATCTGATATTACATCCATCCAGGTTTATCTTAAACCACTTTTGGCCATTTTAAAAGCAGTTTATGTGTCCTGAACTTCTGTTGTGTTACAGATTTGAACTGGTTTCCAATCACTTATACTGGTGAAACAGCTGCAAAGCTTGCCTGGCTACAAGCCAAGTGGGTGAGCTGTGCTTAAGAGCTCTTCAAGAAAAGGGCAGCAAAACATTGCAGAAGGCGCATAAGCTTTACCAGACAAGAGAGTACTTGGTGCACGATGCATGCTTCTTATTGGAGTATTTAAATTGTGACCAGAGCCCACATTGCAAACCAGGGGCTCTTTTTAGCTGCTACTAAGCCATAAAAGCTGAGGGAGGGAAAAGAAGAAGAGAAACTGAGATTAGTGGACTCCAGCTGTGAAGAAAGGAGGCGCAGACCCAGCCCCCAGCCAGGGGAGATCGAGCTGAAACTTGCCCAGGGAGCAGGCATCAGGATGAGGGAGAACCTGTGTCATCCCATGAGAAGCTGATCCCCACTGGGTTCAGAGCTGTGCAACTAAGGACACGGGTGCCAGGGAATGGGGAGTGGTTAGTAAGCAAAGCTGGTAGGCTTGCTGGATCTGGGGGATCAATCAGAGCCCTTAAAGGGTTAAAACCAGGCTATGAGTTGTATCTGACTGAAATGTTGGGGTGAAATCTGAGCTGGGAAGGCTCAAGCTGCAGAGTCAGAGACCTGCAGAGGGAAACCCCTGTCTGCGGGTGCTGGGAGGGGGAACAGCCCTGAGAGGGAATGGGCTGAAAGAAAACAAACCAGCATGGGTGGGTGATGGGACACCTAACCACTGTTTGCAGGAAGTATATTTCCAGAAGGAAACAAAAGGGAACCTACTGCCTGCAGGAGCTGTTCAGAGCAGAGGCCGCGGAACGGGATGGGCCACCCTGGCTGTGGCCCAACC